TCTCGATCATACGGTGATATGATTTAATTGAGTTGGTGTGGAATTAAACGGTTAAAAAAAACACATTATTTCCTTTGTGCCACAGGTGTAAGAGTAATTTAGGATCAAATCTTTTAGTATTTATGAGCTAAAAAAATAGATTTATATTTGAAAATGTATAGCTGGTGTGTAGCTGGATTTACAGTGACTTATTATATTTACATTTTATGGCACCAGCCTCCTGCTCGTCCCTTGCACCCTCCGCCCCACCATCGGAGGTCGCGCTTTCAGCCACTACGCCTCAAAACTCTGGACCGCTCTCCCTCAATCCCTCCGCCTTTCCCCCTCTCCCCCCTCTTTCAAGTCCCGCCTGAAAACTTTCCTCTTCGACCGTGCTTACGGCCACCTCCCCCACCCACCCACCCCCCCCGGCTCTGAGTCAGGCTCCGCCACTGTGAAGCGCTCTGAGACGCTAACGTGGAGGGCGCTATATAAGTGCAAGTTGTTATTATATATTGCATTTAGAATCCACACTGTATAAAATTGTTTCAACCGCTGTTTGCTAGTAGGAGGCAACTCATTGCAATCCTCTCCTCTCCTGGGGATTTGATGTTGGTTGGTCAGAACTTTTTTTTTTTGCCTTTCTACCCAAGTGTTTTAATTGAGATGAGAACTCTGTGCAATGAATTTTGGAAATGTTTTATCCTCATTTTTTTAATGTTTATCTTTAATTAACACGTGCTTTTGCATCTGCTCAGCAATTGGGATGGAGATAGACCCTTTGCTTTAAACTGTGCTATTTGGATGATGTAACAACACGCTTCAAAAACACGAGTCTAAACTCGAATCAGTGTTATTATTTTCAAATAAAAAAAATGTTTTCTAGCCTTTTAATGGTGTAAAAGCCATTTAAAACTAATGACTATTCAGCAACTTATCAGGTGCAATAAAAATGAGCTCCTGAACGCTATGTTTACTGGATTAGTGCACTATTTATTGATAGTTTAGTTCCATCATCAGATATTCAGTTCAATTTTCCAAATCGACAAGCAGGTACCTATATGTCTTATTAAGACATTTCTAGAGGCACTGAGCGTGTGATGGGAGAGCCGTTTAACCACATAAACATCAAAGGGAATGTTTGCCTAATACACCCAGGTTTTTGCTCCTTCAAAAGACACTATCAGTCTGCCTAAGCCAACCATAGCCATTGCAAACAAATATAACTGGCATCCTTTTATTTAAAAAAAATCTGTTTAGCTCTTAAAACACTTATTCTCTCTGTCTCTCTCTCTATATAGATAGGTTCCGTATAACATTTGATAGATCTACAAGTAAGAATGTAGATTCTTCTTATCTGAAATGCTTATTTACAAAGTTTATAAACTTAAAGAGTGTTTCAAGGCAGTGAGTGCTCTATTGATTTGCTGCAAAGGAGAGGTTCCAAACTGAAGCTCAGCTCTGCACATGTCCTCAGAAGATTAACGGTGGGACTCGTCTTTTTGATGTTTTCTGCAACGAAACGGTAAAAGAAACGAAAAGTACAGATAATGGGTCTTTTCCCCTAAAATATTGCATTTCCACCCAATTCTGTTCCCAACGTTGCTTCCCAAACTTGTCACCAGCCTTGTGTTGGGTTTCCCTGTGTCTGTGTGTCTGTGTGTGTGTGTGTGTGTGTGTGCAACTGTTAAAACATTTGTATAACATGATCAAAAATAATAAAAAGCAACTTGAGAGAGGGAGAGGGAGAGAGAGGGAGAGAGAGAGAAATAAATCCCAAGTTATGAATGCATTAACTTGGCTGAAACCTGGCACAGCGTGAAACTCCCATCTCAACACGACTGAATCTGGGAGCCGTGGGAGAGAATTTTGCTCTGTAATCCCTTCAAAAGAGCCGCCCCATTTAAACAAAAATCTGCAAGTCTCTCCAAAAGTCTTTTGAGAGGACACCAATTGTTGCTCAGGAGTGGGGGAAAAAAAAGGGGGTGATAAAGATCTCTCTGTGTGTGTGTGTGTGTGTTGTGTGTTGTGTGTGTTATCGTTTTAGAAGGATTTTTTTTTGTTGGGGAGGGGGGTGTTTTGGTATGTGCATACAATTGAAATGTTTGGGATCGCATTACCTTGAAAGGGAACAAACACATCATTTATTTTTCTCCTCCCCAAAAAAATGCACACACACACACATCACACATCACACACACACACATCACACATCACACACACACACATCACACACATCACACACACAAGGAAGCTTATTAGGTTACAAGTAATCAGCCAATCTTATTTCATTTCCTTATTTATGTGAGTGAGTTAGTTAGTTAGTTAGTTAGTTAAGTTTTTTTTAAATGATATTCACTTTTCTCTTGATCAATCCCCAAGTCTGACACCACAACAATAGTGTCTGTATTTAAGTTAAGGAGTACCCATCCCCCTGTCAAACTAACCTGAGTTGTATGTCCACAGCATACACACTTCTGAGGGAATCCGCCTTTTTATGTGTTTTTAAGAAAAAAAGAGA